GCTCCATATCTCCAAATCACCCGGAGCTGACGCATTCCTAAGGAAGTACAGCTGCCACCAGGGATCAAAAGTTCTGGTTATGGCGGCCTTTTGAAACTTCACCCCGCTCCAGGGGGCCACCATCAACAGCTTGGGACAAACGTGGCCACTCAGCCATACTCCTGGTAGATCTCTGCCAACGAAGCCTGGTGTTTGGTGTTTCCCAATTGTCAGTCCACCCTCGGTCCAACTGGGGTCTGGAAATCGGTGTGCATCCCAACATAACTGATCAAATCAGGAAAATGATACACCTGTGGGATTCTCAGGTACCCTCTTTTCAGACAAACCCAATAGACGTCAAAAGTGCATCAGTTAGTTGTCACGCCTTGCGGAAGAGCGGGAGGGTGGTTGCAGTTCTCTCCAGCTCCTGCTATAGAATGCCACTTATTCAATCTTATTTAGCCTTAGGCAGCACCTCTAGAGTTTCTAATATGAGGAGAGTGTGCTGGCCTAACAGAAGAAATGGCCAACGCGCCAATGTACTTTCACCGTGACCCATGGGCTTCTCTCACGGTTCCCAACTTGCATTGTTCCCATGCCATTGCACCGGGCACCTGAAGGAAGCGAACAACCTGACAGTGGGCACAGTGGCACGTCTCAGGATCTTGCAAATCTCGCAACAACTTACATACTCGGATTATCTCGAAATTACTTGGATGACTTTCTTGGTGAACAGATTCTCTTGGATTCCAGCTTGGAGCGTTCTGTTGCTTCCCCAATGCTGCTTCCAAGCAACCGCTTCTTCGAAGATGGGCTTCAAACGGTAGTTGTGGATGAAATCTTGAACCACCTGGGTTAAACAAGCTGTCCCACCCCGTTCCATGCTGGGCTTACTATGAAAAGTGACATGCTGAAGGCATACTACGATTTGAAGCTTGTGAGCATGAAATCTTTTTGCGGCGGTCATCATGGCAGAACAAGGTCCAGCAACGGCAGCTGTCTGAACTACTTCCTTCCCAAACCTTAAGCTTCACCCATTCTGAGTGTCGTGCCAATTTGTAATCAGAGCTTGTTTGCCAAGGAGCAATGGTCAGAGTGGCCGCACCTGAAAGCGTGCTGGATCCGTTGAGATAAAGCATGATAAAGCCAAGTTCCACAAAAGCGAATGCTGCAGGATTTCCAACCGGATCCCAAAATAGAAAGGCCAAAGTGCAGCAACGATACTAGCTCATTGGACTGTGTATATAGACTTGGTCTCGATGCCCAATTTATCTGTGGGGCATGAGGGGCTATGTTGAAACTCTCTGTGGTGATCGCTGGTGGTTTTGGCCCCTGCTCGATTACAAGCGCCTCCGTTGGTGTCGTCCCCGCTGCCTGTTCACTCATCAACGCGATTGCCCAAAAGTACCATCGAAGCGCCAATCCAGCGTCACTACAAGAGATTGCTGTGCAACTAAACAGGAAAACTTTTAAAAAAAACTCTAAGCCTCACCAAGACGTGGTGCCAACATGTTGCCTTCACTGCAGCTGCAACGCACATGAAACCCACCTCCAAGATCAATTTCCACCGCAATGAGCACGCTCGGCACCATGGGAGAGACCAACTCAGTCTCTCCAGGCGCTGGAAACTGAGGACCTCCAAACGGTCAACACCACAGGTCGCTGGACGCCTCCTTCATGCTTTGCTATATGGGGGTTTCCATAAATGGGGCACCCCCAGATGGATGGTTTATAATTTTATAATGGAAAAATCCAATTAAACTAGATGATTTTGGGGGTACCCCTATGACTCAGGAAACCCCCATATCTTGTCATATACCGGATCTCCAAAGACGTGGAACTGATATGGATTGATATGGTGAAAAGGGGATCCCAGGCCTTGCCGATCCAACTCACCGGACTGCTGACCTCGGTTTACCAAAAACTCCACAAGTGGGGGGAAAAAAACGAATGGAAACCAAGAGAATTACTGTCATGACTAGTCACTTTCGTCCAAGCAACGTGACTTGAATCCCTCCTGCACACCAGGCAAATCCAAAGTCCCCTTTGCACACAGCCAAACAAAAGGACTGAGTACAACTTCTTGACGTTCCATGACCTGCATGGAATGTACAAATTTCATCCGAAGGATTTGCTCTTAGCAATACCATCTGGTGTGCATATCCACTTGTTCTGCATCACTGTCCATATTCCACGGAGCTTGATCCGAGGATGAAATGAAGGAATGAACATGTCTAACCGAGAAGTGTTCAACTTCCCCCGCTTTTTTCTCCTGACCCATGTCGAAGTCCTGGCAGAAACCAAATCAAACTCAGCAAGTTGCAATGTGAAGCTGGACAAATACAGTGTCGGCTGCTGCAAACACACACATCAAGTTGCAACACTGATACCCGGCAAAAAAGTTTTAGAGTGCAGTATAACAGACGCAAAATGATGCAAATGAGGCAAAAAATGCAAGATGATGTCAAATGATGCAAACTCTACAGATAATGCAAACAAGGCCGTAGCCCAAAAATGAGATGCGAAGATACGACATGCTATCGAGAAATCTTGACAACAGGGTTTCTCAAGAGCGGCTCCTTGCAGCTACTCAGTTGCATCAAATCCTCACGGCCAGATGGCTTCAAAATTCAAGCAACAGATAATGATTGAAGCCATTGAAGCCAATTCAAGTTTGAAGTTCCATTCCCATCCAGGAATGCGCAATGTGGCTATCAGGCTTACTTGTCAACCTCAACTATGGACCCTTCTAAGTTCAGTCTGAAGGCTGGGTGTCAAGTTTTAACCCTGCAATATGTGTACGACCTTCATTGAGGGATCACAAGCTACACGACAAGTTCAGGATCTCCTGTTTAAATTCTTCAAGTTTCTTCTGAGCTTCCTTCTCCTCTGCAGAGTTCAAAGGCAACCAAAAACCGTCATGTTCGGCTGATGCAACATGTCAGATACCCTCTGGTAATCACACATGGTAGTCGGAAAATCCTCCATTTAGTTCAAGGATTTTCCCACTGAAACATTCATAGAGGATTTTCCAGCTATCTATGTTTGATGACACTGGAGACTACATTTTCTTATCGCGCCGCCTGCTGCCGCATCTTCTCCCCCAATGCCTCCTGGTCGGTGGCAGCCTGTGGCACCGCGAAAACTTCTGATGGCAATTCCAGCGGAATCTTAAAAATGAAGTGGTGGAAATCCTTCAAAAATGGCTCAAAATGTGGAAAAACACAAAGCAACCCAGTGTCGTACTTAAAAATATCATGGTTTTTGGAATCGATTTATTTATGTATTTATGTTTATGTGTATATATATATATGTATATATATATATGTGTATATATATATATATACATAGAGCCACACAAACATGTGTGTGTGTGTAACAGATGGTAGCGACAAATATCTCCAATGGTACCGAAGTTCCCAAAGTACACCAAAGTGATCCCACGTTATGACCATGCACAAATCATTTTGCAGACCAACTGCCTTGCTGCGGATCTGCTGCATTTCGTTGAGCAGCACAGCTTTCTCCGATTCCAGCCTGTAGTAAGGATCATGCTGGAGAACAGTCGCAGTGAGTTTCCACTCATCTATGTATGTGTATGTATGTGTATATATGTATATATATATGGTGTCGTGTCCCGTGTTAACGGTCCCCCCCCCCCCTTGTCTGGGGGGGGGGGGGGGGGGGGGGGGACCAGCCAACACTGCACCATATATACATATATCATGTATATATATACACATTTATATATATATGTACATATATCATGTATATATATATATGTATGATGATATACATATACATATACAATATAAATATGTTTGTACGAGGTACAACAATAAGAACGTAAAACGATTCCATATATCTCTTAGAATCTTAATGTTGTTTTGCTTTGATCTATCCCTGAAAGGCCTTTTTGTTGGGGTTCCACCCAACGGCTCACCTTGAAGCGGCTGCTTGCACTTGCTCTTTTGAGGCCTGTCCGAGAAAATACGGTCACCGTTAAATCTGGACGTTCTTCAATCTGGAGGTTCTTCAATCCAAGCAAAAATGTGCAAAATGAAATGTCTGTCTGAAAATGAGGGATAGCCAGAAATGTCCAGTCTTCCATAGCAAAATTGATGAGCCCCCTTTTGCAGACAATCCCGATTTGCATCATTGAAATCCTGGGTCTACTAGGTCTACTTCACAGCGTCCAACCAAGGGCACCCTTGAGGCACCTTGCTCAGCTCAAGCTCTTTGGTGAGCTGAGTCACCTGTCCTTGGAGTTCCCCCGAGACGAGGTTCATCTGGGCGATGAGTTCCTGCTGCTTCTGGATGGCATTCTCCAGGGCCTGGAACTGGACAGTTTCAGCTTGGGTGAGTTTGGAAATTGATTTTTTTGGTGACTCCATGCGTATATCCCATAACTATATGATATGTGTATGTATGTATATGATCTATATATATATATGTATATACAGATATACGTATATGCTTCTATGTACGTATATATATATATGTATACACATATATATTTATACAGTATATAAATAACACACTCAAAATGGAAATCCCAAAAAGATCAGAGTGGCAGCCGCTGGCAGCTAATCAAGAGGCCTCTTCTTTCTCAGCCAACTCCTCTGATGCCTTCTGAAAGGCATCCGCATTCTCTTCAACCAGAACCTTGGATAGGTCGTTATCTGCAAACACATGTCTGTTTTCGTATATTCGTCGCAAGCTCTTTGATGTGTTTTCAACAAATTTCAAGCAGTTCCTTCTCAAAGTATGTTGATGTCAAACATGCCAACGGGCAAAGCACACATTTTCTTCGCCACACAGGCTGAGCTGTCCTCATAATTCATCACCTCGATGCTGGAGCACTGCAAAGTTTTGTCAAAGGTTTGCTGGGCCCCAGCCTCAACCAACAAACAAATCATCTCCATACTGCCCTGGCGTGCAGCTGCCCGCAATGCGGTATTTCCCACATCATCTGGCAGCTCTTTGTCAGCACCTGCCTCAACAAGCGCACGAGCTGCCTCCACACGTCCCAGACTAGCAGCTGTGTGAAGAGCAGAAAAACCGCGGCTATTCACATGATTGACCTTTGCACGGGCACCCAACAAATTCTCCACCACACGTGCATGTGCCAAAGCTGACGCGGCATGCAAAGGCAGCTCCCCTTTGACATTTTGTTGGTTGGGATTGGCTCTGCAACTAAGCAAAAACTCCACCAAATCGGAATCTCCTCGCGTTGATGCTGCATGCAAAGGGGTTATTCCATCACAACTCGCGCCATTCACATCCGACTTGGACTCCACTAAGAGCTTAGCTATGTCGTAGTGGCCCTGTGCAGCCGCTGAGTGTAAAGCAGTGGTGTTGCTGTTGTCAGTGACTGTGCCACTGGCTCTGATCTGTAGCAAAAAACTCACAACTGAATAATGTCCTTGTTCCGCTGCACCACGCAAGGGTGTTGCGCCAAAGCAGTTCACTTTGTCTTTCTGTGCGCCAGAAGCAACCAGAAGTTCTACCACCTGGATCTGACCCTGTGCCGCTGCAACATGCAATGGGCTAACATCATTGACATTTCCCACTTGAAGATCTGCACGTCCTTCCACCAGCAAGCGCACCACTTCATGGTGACCAGCTGCTGCAGCTGCATGTAGAGGGCTGCTTTCAAAAAGGTCTCCCTGGTCCAAGTCTGCCCGACTTTGGATCAAAAAATCTGCAATCTGGCCATATCCTCGATCACAAGCTGCATGAAGTGGGGTAATGCCATTGAGACATGACTTGTTCATGTCCGCCGAATGAGACACAAGATCCACCACCACTTTCATGCGGCCACGCGATGCTGCTGCATGTAATGGAGTCAGACCATTTGAATCAGTTTTTTCCATATCTGAGCTGGCCTCCAGCAGTACACACAAGACCCCGTGGTTCCCCTTGTCGGCTGCAGTGTACAAGGCAGTAGTGCCACTGCTGTCTTCTCTGTTCTTCTGGATCCCCCACTCCAATAATATTTGGGCAGCCTGCCCGCAATCCCTCAATGCAGCCAAGTGCAGGGCAGTCCGTCCAAATGTATCAGCTGCTTCCAGGTCTGCGCGACACTCGAGAAGAAAACTCACAACTTCACCTGAGCAGTAGTGCTCAGCAGTGGTTAAAAGGGATTCCCAAAAGACAATTGTGATAATCCTGAAATATCCTGAACATTTTGGAAAGTATAATTGTATGCTGTATAATCATCATCCCTTTTGATCATCAACCAACGGGGTTTTAGCAGCCACTGATCACCTTCATCGCAAGATGAAGCTGCATGGAGAGCTGTACGACCAGAACGATAGGCCACGCGCACATCCGCAGAAGCTTCATGGAGCAAACGCAGAATCTCACTTTTGCAGTACGCTGTCGTGCTCGCTTTCAAAAAGGCCCAGTTGCCTCTCGCATCCTGACAATTCGGATCCTGCAAGCAAACAGGGTCAAACAAAACAGCTGTCAAGACTCAAGATCCATCCTTTGACAATTTGACAACTGCATGCACTCAGGCAAAACTTGAACATTTGGGATTGAACCCCACTAAGCTCGTAAAGCGACAATTCGGTGGCTGATCTCGAGAAAACGTCCCAACAACCAGCCCCACCTGGCATTTCAACAAGATCGATTTAACCTCACGAACCTCAGCATGCTTGGCGATGAACTTCGGACATCAGGCTGTTGGGATCTGTTGGGTATGTACACTCAGACACCAAAACAAAATGTGTTAGGCTTGGGCTAGTTCCTAGTGAGATGACCAAAATCTGCTGAGCCAAGTCGAATCCAAGCCAAGCGAGCCATTTTTTTAGTCAAATGACATCTCCTTTCTGGACTGCGTGGAACAGGGAGGTGGTAAAATCCATCACGGGAGGAAGGGTCACCACCTCCACTTCTGATGGCTGACCAACATCCTGGACCGGTGGAACGAAAGGCATCAGTTTTCATCAGATTTCCATAGATTTCCAGTGCCTTTGGCAGAACAAAACAAGCAAAATTCAAGGGATCGATCAGGGAACTGTGAAGGAAATGGAACAGCGCAAGAACTGAAAAACACCGGATCTGTCCGTCCCTGCCGGCGCTCCTCCCACGTCGCATCATATGGAAGAAGGTTGCCAGCCAAGACCAGTCTGACAGTTCAGGAAGGAGCAGTAGTGCTCGGATTGCATCTGAGACTACATTTACTTAGTATACTTTCCCGCACATGTGAGTCAGTAAAACTCAATCCCACAGTCCCACACTCGCAAAACTCAATTCATACACTGCAAAATGTCAATTTGTCAAGACGTCGGCACTGTCAAAAGCAACGGCCTGGTTCGAAAGCTGGGGTGCTCCAGTGCTTGGGCTACAGCTTTGCGCAGCCCATTTTCCAAATCCGTCGCATGGAGAGTCAAGCTTCGCCCACTGAGGCTACTCACGGTCAGCGACATTCCAAGGCACAAAAGGATCCATGGAGAACACCAGAAAGTTGATTCAGTTACAGCTCCCAAAACTGCGGAAGGGTGGTTGAAATTAAAATGTTCCAGTAGAAAATAAAATATGTTTTGGTCCCACACTCTGGAGCTTACACTGTTTACATGAATATGCAGTGTGGAGATGAAGCTCCCCTACATGTTGGATAGGCTGTTGTACCCTGGATTCCTGTTGCATAGTTCTGCATGTCCTGAAGAGCTTGAGACAAAATACCAAAAACTGATTTGAGACAGTGCATACTTTGCATCTGTGAATGCAGCTGCACTGAGGCACTGACGCCCTGGTCAACACAGCGGTTCTGCAGTTCAGCCATGCTGAACTGAATATTCAGCATGTCTTCTTCCTGCCCAAGAGCAAGCAGAGAAAACCGTCGAAAACCGTCGAATAGTCCGCAAAACCCATTGAATCAAAGCCAACTCTGCACATGTGAAAAAGTTTGATGTTGCTCGACACAGACTGTTCTGCAGCATGCACCATCTGCCTTCTGAGCTAACCCATCGCTAAGATTTCGTAGCTCCTCTTGAAGATCTTTCACCTCCGGAAGTGCAACATGAGCTTGTCCGAGAATCCCTAATGTTTCATGATCATCTTTCTCCATCAAAATAATCATTTTGGATGGTGCCCTCATTCTTGAACATTTAGAATAACCTCCACATGCTCTTCGGCAAATCAAGCCTGATGTCCAAACACATCCACAATCCAAACAAGAGCACATTGGCTGCCACTGTGACCGTGGTGAGTCGCCCATTGGTCAGTCGCGGTGATGGAGTTGGCCAATCCAATTTCCCCCATCCTCTCAACTCCATGCCTTCTCATCCCTCTGTGCTTGGAGACCGTGGAGGACATGAGAAGCCTCTGCAGTCCAGAACTTGGAGGATCATCATGCTCAGCCCATGGGATAATCCCATGGATTTGGGGATTTCCCAGAATGCTCCCAGGGTATTCCCCAGTTGTGAGTCGGCTTGTAATTCCCAAGATTAAATATACATATGTTATTCCCTATGTCTATGTCTATGTCTATGTATATGTATATGTATATGTATATATATATAATTATATATATAATTATATATATATAATTATATATATATATATATTCATAGCATTTATTCATATATCTACATATGTTGATGCAAGATACTTATAAGCCAACTTAGCAAACAATCTGAGACACCGAGACAGCACCGAGAGTCGCCGCAATTGGCGCGCGCGCGCGCCTCCCGATGCAGCTCGCGTTCTCGGCCCAGTTCCTCGCGGAGCCGCTCCAGCTCCAGGCTGTGACCGGCCTGCAAGCCTTGGAGCTCCTGGGATCCAGATCAATCCATGTGGGGGTTTCCATGCCATAAATGGGGGTACCCCCAGTTTGATGGTTTATTTATGTTTATTTTATGGAAAATGCCACTAAAATTTGGATGATGACTGGGGGTACCCCTATGACTCAGGAAACAATCCATGTAGAGGTGATATGGAAACCTTCTCGAGGATATGCTGTATATTCTCACTGATATGATTTCTGTGTTGTGGATAGTACGCCTGTTCATCCATGTAGCCCCTTAGAAAAAAAAAACACGGTGAAATCCGGTGAAAATCCGGTGAAATCTGATGAAAGATGGTGGATCATCTTGGAACGAAGCAAATCTCCAAGAATGCGAAGAACCCTGAGGAACTTAGGAATCCCCCAACATGGAACGAATGTTTATCACCAATGCGAGGTATACCAGATACCCAGGATTCCGAACGACTAGGTCCCCTACATTGGTCGAATGATTGTAAAAACCACCCAAACGCCATGAAGTCTCAGAACAGTTGCAGCAAGACTCAGTTGCACCTTTTCACCTTAATCTTGTTTTTTCATGGCACCCAAGACTGAAAAAATGTGGAGGTTTGATACATGAACTACATTGACCACAGCACCGCTGACCTCGGCGTGCATTGCCCTCTGTTCTTCCAGTTGCCGCTGCAAGTCAGGTTGTTCCTTGATTCGGTCCATCCATTTGGAACCACCCCCCAATTGGTACGACCATGAATTGACCATGATTGCAGTCAATTTCTGACAACATGTTTGTTGTATAAAGCGACGTTCTGTGCCAAGGACCCCCACCACTTCGCTGAGGCGTGCCTCAAAAGCTGATATCAACAAAGGAATTTGGTTGATGTAATCCTGTCCTATCCCCCTATATAATATTAATGTGTGGTAATTCCCATGGTTCCAAAGGAGTGTCTAATATAAGGGGGATGGGATTAATGCTAGAATGACCAAATTTTTGGAAAAACAACATGAGCCCCCGGTTTCATTTTGTTTGGTTCCCAGCCTGCAACCGTCTGTTCTCTGCATCCAGTTGCTCACATTGTCTCGCTTTTTTGTCAAGCCTCAGATACTTACAAGTTGAAAATGTGCATTCGCATAGTGCATCAATCATGGCAATTCATAACAAATTGAATCAAACACTCCAACCCGTCATTCAATGAACTATCAACAAATATGTGTTCACACATCATTCTGCAATTCAGGAACTGTTCCCGCGTAAATTTGAGTTGTTCCGTCAGCCAAACATCGGTCTTGTCCTGTCGGGGACGTGAGATGTGAGCTCTGAAATCTGAAATAATCCGTGATAATTTCATGACTAAATTGAAATGTCATCGAAAAAATAATGTGAAGTCGTCCTCTTGGGATTTCTCCGACCGAGTCCAGCATTGAAACCATGCATCCAAGGACATGCCTTGTACTTGTTTCTGCGTGATATATGGGATTTGGTTCCTGATGTTGATTGCTGTGAAGTTTTACTGTGTTTTTTGCTCCAAAATGTTCCCTGTGTCATTGTTGCCATTTGGTGCCTGGGCATGTTGGCCCTGTTGATTCAAACGGTAGGCCCGCACGGTGATGTAGTATCACTGTTTTTTGTTGTTTGTAATTGATGATGAGTCTGAAGGAAGAAACGATACAAACGATGAACATAACAATCAGTGACGATTGCGTTGATGTTTTTGCTTTTGTTTTCACCTTCCCGGAGTTCTTCAACTGTCCTCCCGCTCTTGATTCTCAATTCAGCCGACTCTCTTGGCCCTCAATTCAGCCGATTTGCATGAAACCCAAATCATGTCATCGTGCTATTTTCGAAACTAAAAACTGCAACAAAAAAATGTTCTACAAGGCCAAAAGTTCATGTGGAATGATCCCCAAATCAGACCAAAATGGATTATTAACATTTGTGGCAACCACCATCAACTCAAGCCTTACCTGTTGTGTTTTGTTTAGAGAAATGCGTTTGAATTCCAAGAATTTTTGGATTTAGATGTCCATGAATGAATAAACAAAATACAATGGCTTAGAACTTGTTTGGAAAATATTTTGTATAAAAGTGTGACAAATTTTACAACGGCCGGCAACCAAATGATGACAACAAATAAATAAGCCCCGCATGGAAACATAAGACCAACACCAAACCAAACACCGATTTTTTTCTGTGGCGAAATTCCACTGACACGATTGTTGGTACAAATTTGAAGGTGTTTCAAACCAAAATGCGATTTGAAAACAAGCAATGCTTGGTACCCCAATGCAGATGCAGATTGTCATACTTCGTCCTTGCAAACCCGCCATGCATTGAGTGGATTTTGAACATGACAACTTGGAACCCTCCAACTCAACCTGTCCAACCTTCAAGTTTCTAACTAATATTTTGGTGCCTTTTCGGTGGCACGGCGGATGAAGGATCTGGAACCTCAAATTGGAAGATTCTCGATTTGTGTCCGCCAATGTCATCCAGCAAAGGTCGCCCCAACTAGTTCCGCTTGAAAAATTTGTGGCTATTGGCATTCGTTTTTCGGTCTTCCAACCCACGAACGATCCACCACGCCCTCCGACACATGGTAGAATTTGAAATATGTAGGCCGTCTAGCCAAACCTAAAGATGATACCGCTCGAGGATGTAACCACATTTAAAATTCTGCAAGACCATCAGTTCAAAGCCAAACAGAACGGCAATTTTATCACAGCGTGCGATTCAAGATGTTGGAGAAAAAAAACGGCATTTGGCATTGTAGACATCAATGCTGCACTCTTCATACACACTGTTTGTAGATTCCATGTGGTTGGGTAAAAAACATCGTTTCATTTTACACATCAGAACACACCAACACACGTGATACTACACATTCATGCGCAAAGAGGTGTAAGGTTACCTGTGTAATTTTTCCCCGAACAGCTCTTGAGCTGAATGGGGTTCTGATTTTTGCTAGCAACAGTGTTTGTTCCATCATGATTTCCTAGTTCCTGCTGGTTCCGGCTCGGGTTCCGGTGCTTGTCTCCCTTCTTCTCTCTTCTTTCTTTTCGTCGGAATGAGGTTATGTTCCATCATGATTTCCTGATCCCTCCTGGATTCGGCTCGGGTTCCGGCGCTTATCTTCTTCTTCTCTCTTCTTTCGGTTCTCCGGAAAAAGAGTTCTGTTCCATCATGATGTCCTGGTTCCTCCTGGTTCCAGTTCGGGTTCCGGTGCTTGTCTCCCTTCTTCTCTCTTCTTTCTTTTCTCCGGAAAACGGTTATGTTCCATCATGATTGGTGGTTCCTTCTGGTTCCGGCTCGGGTTCCGGTGCTTCTCTCCCTTCTTCTCTCTTCGTTCTTTTCTCCGGAAAAGGGTTGTGTTCCATCCATCATGATGATTTCTTGGTACCTCCTGGTTCCTTCTCGGGTTCCGGTGCTTGTCTCCCTTCTTGCGAAGAAAAGTGCCACACTCTGTGCACCTTTTTACTTGAACCAGGGCCTCACAAAATCCACACATGTTGTGTGTCCAAGCTTCCATGTGATTTCACAGGAAATGTTCAACTGATTCTATGAGTTCGGTTTGTGCGTGTCATCCTTGTGCAGTGGCCATGATACATCCATCTGAGACATGAGTGCTGCTACCAATTCTTCGGACTCCTCCTTGAGTCAGCAAGCTTTAGCTGTATGGCTCACACCCATTTTCTCAGAGACTCACCGC